ACACATGGAGCTTTGGCTGCCTGGATGTGGAGCTTCCCGTCTGGAGCCAGGCAGCAGGTGACGGCTTCAGGGTTGGATCCTTGGGGCAGATCAATCTCCTGTCTGAACTCCTGGAGTCTGTAAGAGTAGGAGCCTTTCCCGTCCTCCTGCTTCTTCTCTGTCTTCCCGCTGACTCTCAGCTTCCTGCCCTCCTGTCTGACAGACAGCTCCTCTGGGGAAAAGCCTCGAGTGTCCAGGGTCAGGCCGAAGTGCTCTCCCTCTTCCTCCAGCTGCACGGCCATGCTGGTTTGGAAAGGCTCCGTCTCCTCCTGGATCTTGTGTTGAAGTTTGTCCATCAGCTCCAGACTGCTGCGGAGCTCCTGTAGGTTTCTCTGCAGTAGATCCTGCTGGTGGAGCAGGGGTCTGACCTCTGGCTTCAGGACGCGTACAGGCCAGAGGACTGAGTGGAGTCCATGAGAGCACAGCATCCTCAGTGTGTGTTCAGTGTCGAGTCCTCTTGTTAAAGTGTGTGTTGCTTTCTGTCTCAGCAGTGGGACTGTCCCAGCTTTTATATTCTCACTGGAGGAGCTCCAGAGTCTTCAGGAACTTTCCTGTCGTTACCACATCTCTCCACTGGGTGGGGCCATTACTCAGGCGTGCTGATGTCACTTGAATCATTCCTGTGTGCTCTTGAAATTTCCTCTGTGACAGATCTCACCTTTATGTATATTTATTAATGTTTCTCTATTAATCCAAGAGGATTACTGACACCATGCGTACTATGTAGTAGCCTTTGCATACATTATTGTATCATCTTTCTCAGATCAATATCCTTGACCTGCGTTTTGCCATGTTTACTGGAATATATTGATTGTAAGTATCCAGTTATTCCGATAACACAAGTGAGAGGACATGTCCATGAGAGTTAACGATATTAATAATACCAATTCATTATTAAATTTGTTACATTTCAGTCTCAAACCTTACACTACTGTAAGCTCGCTTTGAAATCAGACCAACACACAGCTCTTACAGTTTAGAAGATGCCCTAAAATGCGTGGTTTTTTTAATTTCCAAAAAAGGACCTTCCAAGTATATGTTTTACGTGTAAAGCAGAGCCGCAATCACTTTTTATGGGGGTAAGGGCGAACCATTTTTAATCAACTCCTCCTGCAACCCAACCCTCCAGGGAGGTCTGGGGGAAGACATTTTGAAACTGACCATTTAAGAGCATTTTAAACCACAAATCTTAGATCAGGGGAGCTCAAGGTTTTGATGACTGAGCGCCATTTTAAGGAGCCAGCATATAATTCAAGGCCACACAGGAAAAGTGCACACACTGTGACGTTTTTATGACATCCAAAGCAAAACAAAAACTTCAATGGTTATATAACCAATATCATACTCGTATTGCATTTTAGTTTTCCACTTAACGCATTTGAAAGAAATGAAATAGAGTGACAGTACAGTGCTTGGCATTGATTGTATTTTCCCCACAGCAGTTGAGCAGCAACCAATGCCTCGGTGTAAAGCATGGAATGACATGCTGATTTCCAACACTTAAAGGGATAGTTCAGAATCTTTAAGAGGAACTGTATGGTGTTTCTATCCAGTGGTAAAAGGCAGTTACAGCGGGCCCCAGTGCGCGCTATTATGAGGGGCCCTATTACGCGCTAGTTACAAGTTATGAAGCACACACACACACACACACACACANCACACACACAGTTTCAGGTAGCAACGGTGTGTCTCACTGCCGCTTTTACGTTACATCCACTTGCAGATACTTGATATTGGACACATTAACATACATATTACACAGCAATCATCATTACATATCTGTATAAGACAAATCTACAAAAGAAAATAGGAAATTATTAGTTTAACTTGATGGTTTTTTTATTGGCAAATTATAGTTTTTTAAGTTAAGTTCTTTGAGTTCTTCTTTGAACACGGGCGTATTTCCAGGTGGCAGTCGGGCCCCTCCACCCCATGGGCCCCAGTGCAACCACACTACATTCTCTGTCTATATTTACGCCTCTGTTTCTATCCATAGACAGTATATTACATACAGTAGATGTCAAGCGGCACGCCCCCAGTTTGGAGAAGCAGGCTGGAGTCTGACATGGAGGCTAAACTAAAGTCTACTGCTGTGGAGGGGTCAGCAATAAAATCTATTTTAGCCACCTATAAAAATCAATATGAGTTTAAGTGTACTCTATATTAAGAGTATTTTCACTGCTTTACCTTAATGTCAGACAGTGATTTTCAATGGGAATGAAGCTGTTATATTGCTTTCTTCAAAGCCAGACTCCATTGAGAAAAACAGTGATTTAACACTGTTGACTACAGGAGCTGTTGGTCTACATCTACGTCCGTCAGTTAGTTAGTTTGTGTTATTGTGTGACTTCAGCGTTTAAAAGGGTTAGTCCTGATTCAGCAAAGTCACACAATAACACAAACTGACTAATTAATCAAAGCAGTGGTAGATCAGCAGCTCCTGTAATCAGCTATGTTAAATCACTGTTTTTCTCAATGGAGTCTGGTGGCTTTGATGAGAGCATAGACGGGGCACTGAAGCGCATAACACCTTCCCCATCAAAATGGGCAGTCTGGTGTAAAAGGTAAAGGAGTCAAAATACTCTCGATATAGCATACACTTAAACTCATATTGATTTTCTTAGGTGGGACTTTTACAGGGGGCTCAAACCACTCCTTCACTGATATATATCTCCTTTAGTTTTCCAATGCCGTAGCACTATCCTGCATCCAGTAATAAGCGCTATCCTGCACCATGAGAAAAGCATTGGTGTGTGTACGAGTGCAAATGACATCACTGTACTGATGAAGGCAATAATCTTAGACCACAGAAGATCTATCATGGGGCATGAGGACAACAATTGTAAGAGGGTGCCAAAAGTAGTGTCACATCTCCAGCACAGATCAGAGTATTTAAGTCCTAACTGTGCTATTTTACTAAGGGTCCAATAAATCCTATTGATAAGTATAAGTATACCCTACAAACCCACTTCAAACAATCTGAACTATCCCTTTAACTGTGGTGATTCAGTGTAAAATATGTAATCTGGATCTAAAAATGAAAACATATCCAAATGTTTGGCACAGTGAAAGTGTCAAATAGATTTAATGTTGGTTTGTTGATTTGCATTTTTTAATTACACACATCCTACAGCTTAATAAGAGACATGAAGAAACCGTGGTCACACACACTTACACACACACTCTGGGTGGAGGTGACCATTTGTCCTGCCTTTGATGAGACTAATCCTTTCAGTATCTCTTCATGCTGTGTTGCCGTGGTTTCACTGGATCCAAATCCCATCAGTGGGATGTGTGACTCAGGCTGCAAAAACAAGTCCCTTTCCCTTTTTATGAATGAATGCCCGAGTCCCCGTGATGCGCTCAGCCAATGAGAAGCCCGCACCTGCACCGTTTGCAGCTCTGCAGCAACAAGAGGTCACTACACTTGGAAACGTGGAGGAGAGCACGCACAGCATAGCAAGGCACGGCACAGCACGGCTCGACACAGCAGCGACAGCCTGCAGCAGCTTCAGTCGGATCAGCCAGGCCTTCACACACACACACACGCACACACACACACACACACACACACACA